GACTCCGACTACTTGGTGATTCACCAGTTGAAGGTACCGCATTAAGTACCTTTGAACGAATCCAGCTGCATGGTAATTGTCCAATTAAAGGCATTGAATTCAATTCCTCTTCTGTAGGAATGATATCCAATACCCTAAACGTGCGATATCTCTGTTTAATACAAAAAAGTATATTATAAAAAAAAACTAATACGTCAACATATTAACACAAAGACAAAAATAAAAAAAAAGTAACTTACAGCATGATTACTAAAGTAATCCTCATAAAGTTCTTTAAATTTAGGCTCTCCCACACATACATAACGTAACATCCTGGGAACCTGAGGGGTATCAAGGTACTCATCCTCTCTTAAATACTTCTCCCGAATATCTGGGAAGCGCTTATAGAACCTAGCACATAACGGAAATGGAAATCCACCAACAGTATACTCAGTTGAATGATATTTGTTCTGCTTGTCCAATGCATGTTTCAGTGAGGTAATGGGCTTCTCATAACACACATTACCCCAAGGATATTCAACACAAGCCTTATCATCTTCAACAATAGCTGCATACTCCTTCAGCACAGATGATTCATTCTTTTTTCCAAACCAAATAGACTCCACAACAAGAATTTCCATAAGCTTCACAGCATCTTCATCACTCTCGCATACGTGTTTGAAATTCACATCATCCTTTTGAATTTCATTCTAGGTCACAAAATCTCGAATGTCCTTCAAGATCACACCATTAGACTTCCCAAAATAGCGCTTCAGAATCTTGCTCTCTTGTTTAATTGGTTTTTTAACATTATATGCGGTGATCGCAAACCGCACATAATGTGAAAGTCTTCAAGGGTGAAGGATACATCATGGCCAAAAATCTTGAAACTAATGGAGTCTCGATCATTGGTGAATATTCGATAAAGACACAAACAATGAACCAACTTCATGCTGCATTTGAAATTCTCCAAAGCCATAATACATCGAAATGTACCATTATTAAGCTTATCCTGTTGTGCAGGAGTCAAGAAACTTGCAATTAAACTCTTCAAATCGTGGTTCCCCTTCCAGTAACCACGACAGTTAAACCAATCGCTAAACTCATAATATATATCCCCTGGTTTTGTTGGTGGAGAAATAGGGACTGAAGGACCTGTGGATATTATACGTTCTTTAGGTGCTTTAGGATCTTTACGTGCTTTAGCTGCTTTAGGATATGTAGGTGATTTGGAGTTTGTAGATGCCATCTGTTCAAAAAAAGTAAAAGATACAAAAAATAACGTCAGAACATTATCAAAAACATCAGTTAAAACTTCAGCTCTAAGAAGGCTGAAGTTCAGCAAATATAAAACAAAAACTTCAGCTCATAAATGCTGAAGTTCAGCAATAACAAAACAAAACATCAACTCCTAGAATGCTGAAGTTCACCAGTTACAAAACAAAAGCTTCAGCAAAAACATGCTTTACTTTTTAAAAAAAAACAAAACACAAATTCAACTCCAAAATAATGCTGAAGTTCATAAAAAATATAACAAAAAACACAAAATACGAAACAAAACTTCAGCTCCTAAAACTAAGGTATCATTGAAGTATTATAAACTTCACACTTTAATAGTATCATCTATTTAACTCTCAAAATTTTTAAATATTTCGACATCTCCAAAAATCACTGAAGAATTTATAGAATTTTGATCAAAAACACCAACACACGTTCAAAAAACCTAAAAATACAATCGTAAAAGAAAAAAAACTAATGCACTTATCAAAGTAAACCCTAGGAAACTATTTTATCATAAATACATGACTATCAAAACCAAAACCAGAAATTAAATTGTAAAAATTAATACTAAAATAAAACCCAGAAAGTTAATGCAATGTACCTGTGATTATACATAATGTTATTGGGGAACAAATAGTTGAAAAATCAAAAACAATGATGAAAACCGTTTGATTTCATAGAAGAACAAATCAAAAAATGCGAATAACGGGAGAGAGAGACAGAGACAATAGAGGACTGGCGTATACTTGGAGAGAAAGTAGTCTTTTAATAAAGAAGGGCAAAATAGTCTTTTTAAAAGGCTTTTAAAAAAAAGGGTACGGGTGCAAACAGAAAAACAAAGCGGCTACAGGTTAAAAAGGGGCGACCAAATAGGAGGCCCCATGCAATTTTTACCAAGTAACAACACAAGAAATTGCAAAATTTTCTAAACCTAGAAAATAAAAATAAAAAATCATAGAAAATTATTCCCCCATCAAAATTTTCTCTAGTCTAAAAATGTAATTTAATTTTATCTAATATTTATTTAGCTGTACAAACATAAAAATACACCACCTACAACTCTTATCGTTATTGGCTTTTCTACGAAATACGTAAAAAAAAAAAAGATGTTCTACTTAAGTCCAGGTATTCAGTGGATGCATTAGGGGCATCGATCGGCTCAGTTCGGTTGTGAATATTATCGGTTCGACATATCGGTTATCGGTTTATAAGTATGCAAAACCGATAAGAAATTGGTTATCGGTTATCGGTTAATTGGTTATCAGCTGTTATCGGTTTACTCGATAAAATAACTCAATCTAGATCAAAACTTCTTCAGAAGCTCGCAACTGAAGATTTTCTTACTATTTTAGTCCTTTAGACATAAGATGCCAAAATGTAGCTAATTAGGAGTGGAACAACAAACAACAAACAACAACAACTATAGGATAATGTTACATCTCGCATTTTCGTACGCTAAAGTTTCGTCTTCAGTTAATCGACGTAGACTTGGAGATGAGATTATCTTGAGATTAACGTATTTATGCTATTTATAACAAGCGATAAGTAAGTGCCGTGAAGGATAAAGGATACGCGAATTAAATAAAGTGAGTTTCGTTGAAGGTTATCGATTTGGGATAAAATATGATCCGAGCCATAATGCCCGGTATTTATGGACTAGTGCCATACAAGGTACTACATGACCATGATGGTAAGGTGTACAAGGTATGTTAAAAGTGAGTAGTATTTTAAGTAAGTTGAGATAATTCTTAATTATGTGGATAATTAATTAAAAAGTGGGATAAGTTTTAACCCATCCCCCAACGTGGCAATCATCCCTTCCATTTAAATGACTAAGTATTAAAGATTGCAAGGTGTCACACTTTGAGAAAAAAGTGTGACACCAAGCTTAATTATGTGGGGCCACTTAAGAATAACAATCCATACATTTTAACGTCATTTGTCTTAAAATTTCTGTATAGAATAACAATCATAATCTCTTCAAATTTCAACCAAAACTTTCCATACATTTTAACGTCATTTTCTAAAAGCTTAATTCAAGCTTTTCATTTCATAGTTACTTAAGGAGAGGTTTCGGCCAAGATAGTCTTTGCATAAGCAACGAGCTTTTCATACAACTTGTTTCGTGTGTTGTCGCAATTAACGTGTGTTAGAGAAATGTCAACAGAATCGACTCATGTATGTTAAGGCTATCCCTTCTTTCTTTTGGCATGATCCAAATGATACAAAAGAAACAAGCAAATGCACAAGCTTTCATAAACGACTCTATTCATAGAAATACTAGGGGTCTATTCATAAACGCATGTATGTTATTCATGTTTATATCTTAAATGCATGCTTAAGGATGTTTGACGTGTAGGATTCGGGCACCCGTCGCGGCCCACCGGTTTGGGTCGTGACAGATAAGCTCAGCGACAGTAACTTGAATTAGCCAAAAACATATAATAATGATATACTGATAACAATTAGTAGCAGCAGAATCCCATTCATTACCTCCACATATTGCAATGGAATGTCAACAACAAGATGTGCCACTTCACCGACTCCTCCTATCCTACTCATGTTCAATACCTTTTTAATACAAAATTATTTACTAGAAAGATACAATAATGAGAACTGGCAAGAAGAACAAGAGTATTCAACAGTGTTTCAAACTCCAAACACTATAGAAACAGTATTAATAGTCTAATACTTCAATAACAGTTATTCAAAATTGAGAAACGAAAATAAAAATCATAAAATATGAGCACAAAATAAAAGAATGTTTAACAGTCAAAAATTCTATATGAAGATGAATTTTGTTATAGAAACCTACTGTATAAGACTTACGCTAGGAGTAAGGTCTATGAAGATGAAGACTTTAAGACAATGAACTGAAGAGTGCGGCTGAGAGGGAATATGAGAATGAAACCCTAGATGTATGTATATACTTAAGGATAAAGTCGTAATTTTATTAATTCTTATTGGATTATCGGTTAACCCATTAACAAAATTGGCAAACCGAGGCCCGAACCGATAACCCAATAGTGAAAAAATTCTAAATTATTACCGAACCGTTAATCCAATAACCCGATACCGATAACCCAATAAGCTTTTTTCGATTGGGCTATCGGTTTTACCCGATATATGCCCAGCCCTACGATGCATAGTCAAAATTCAAGCACTCCACGTAATTGCTATCGATTTTTATGTTTGTGCTACAAAACCAATTCATTTTCTCATGTAAATGGATAAAATCGACCTTATTATGTGATGTTAAAAAAATTAAAGTTTAATTTTGTGGCATATCTCCTTTTTAAATAAACGACTTCTTTTGGTTCACAAATGGTAAATGGCATATTATTAACTTGTGTTATTTCCTTTTTCCCTCTATTTTGAACTATTTTCTGGAGGGTTAAATACTTTTAAGTGAGGTAGTAATCCTTCATAACTTAAAATAGCATTGATCATAGTTGACAACTAAGGGTAGGCCAACTCTGGTGGAAGCAAAATGGCTTTTATATAGAAACGGGCAGTCCCCATTCAAAAGGATTCTATCTTGTCTGACCCAAATACAATGTTGTCCAGTTTGATTATCACTCCAAGTCAGTTTGGGGGCATTTACATCTATACCCGCTTTTTGGGTCAGTTTGCTATCATTGAAAGCCCAATCAAATAATCTATCATCGAGCTTCAAAAGACAGATGGGATGAGCTATTATATACTAACAATGTGAAGAATAAAAAAATTCGCTATCAGTGTAAAATGCTAAGTTGAAGTCAGTTTGTTGTCACTGAAAACCCAATCAAATCATCCAAACGATCATCGAGCTGCAAAAGACAGATGGGATGAGCTATATCATACACTGACAATGTGAAGAATAAAAAAATCGCTATCAGTGTAAAATGCATGACAAATGAGAAACAGAAGTACAGAACTAGCGGAGTTCTCTGTTTACATATAAATACAACATAATTCAAAGATTAACAGTGTCTGTTGCTATTCAGTGCCTCCATCCCTTTGAATGGCCATCCAAGAAAACCTATAAACTGCATATCCAATGGAAATGTCTTAGTCTCACCAGCTAATTTTTGAAATAAGAAAACTTTACTTTTCATTGACAAGTAATCTAATGCTCGTGGAAATCTAGTAGCATTTGTTTTATGTGATATATAGACCAATATAGGAACTCATAGCACTGTGTACGGTGTGTGTACCTTACTTCCATCTTTGGACCACCGTGCACCATAGCCGTTAGCAACTCTTATCTCAAAAACAACCCCATGTGGAGGAACAATATGCACATTTATCCAGCAGCAATGAGTTATCAAATCGCTGATGACATCCAAGGCGACCCTATTTTTGTTGGAATCTAAAAAAGAAAAAGTTGAGATAGTAGCTTCTTAAGAGGACAAAATAATCGCACAAAGAGGTACAACATCTTGTAGAGCGTAAGATTAGTCCAACGGTAGGCAAAAAAGTCAGCAGAAATAAAGAGTCCAGCTAAATGCTCCCATGTATAGCACATTATTGGTTTGTCTCATGAGACAGGTGATGCCAGGAATTGCCTTCTAGAAGCAGAATGATACTCGCAAAAGAGAATTAGGAAGAAAAATGACAAGCATAGCTCAAGCATTAGAATCTCACATGCAACTCAAGAATGTTTACATTGAATGGCCCTGGAACGAGGAACTAACCACTTCCGGAAAAACTACCCCAGTAGCTATCGCTGCTCCTGTTTACATGCTTTGACAATGCCCTAGCTCCATCAGTCAATGTTGAACCTTTAGTCTGTTGCCAAGACAAGATACCTTAGTTACTTCCATATGCAAATGTGAGCAGATCCCTTTGTACTGCTCTTGCTAGCATTAGACATGTGCATTTTTCTAGCATTCAGTAATGTCAGTAAATCCACTGCCATACGACAATAAAATAACCCGGGAAGAGATGGTAATAACTAAGATATCTAGTTACCTCTACAAGCTTTGGATATGGAACAAGTGTGTGTTTAGCTTCATTAATTGCTTTTCCTATTTTCTTCCTGTCCTACTTCTTTTAATAGGTCAATGTTTTATCCACCATCCCACAACCTACCCCGTCCCACATAAAATGGAGAACAAAAAACGAAGGCTTTTCAATGACTGGGAAGTCGCTAGAGTAACTGAGATTTTAAAAATGCTAGAAGGTTTTGCAGGATTAAGGGAGGTGGAGGACTCTCTTACATGGAAAGGAGGCAGTGGCTCTAAATTTAAGTCAAGGCAGCATACAACTATCGATCATCTAGAGGACATCCCAACACTCCTTGGCCTTGAAAAAAGATTTGGAAGACCAAAGCACCATTCAAAGTTATTTGCTTTTCATGGTTAGTGGTAAGAAAAGCCTGCCTCACTCTAGAAATTCTCCAAAGACGAGATATTCAGACCAGCTCTACATGCTTTCCATGTCAACAGGAAGATGAAACCAATGAGCATCTTTTCTTACATTGTGTTATTACTAGACAACTTTGGCAGCTCTTTATATGACTAGCTGGTATTGTTTGGGTGATGCCCAAGGACACTATTGGCCTAATATGCAGCTGGAACAGTATTAGGGGAAGAACCTGTCACAAGGAATAGTGGAAGTTGTTCCAGCTTGCATATGGTGGACAGTTTGGAAGGAAAGGAATGCAAGATGTTTTGAAGGCAAGAGCAGTTCAACACAGAAAATCAAGAGTTCTTGCATTTCTATTTTTCATTTTTGGTGTAAAGAACAGTTGATAGGTGATGTTGAATCACTACTAGACCTTTTTGATTCTCTGTACGATTTTCGGGGGTTGTACTTGTAAATATTAGATACCAGCCCCATTTTTCGGGTGCTAATGAATATAATTGTTACCTTTGTCAAAAAAAGGGAGAGCAAAATGATATATTTTAAACATAGGATCCGCATTAGCAAAGATTCTCAAACTATTTCAGTATAACGAGTTCAACTCATGTCCTATTTTAGTATAACGAGTTCAACTCATGTCACCTGATTCTATCAAGTGGACCTTTGAAATTCTAACTTGTGGTGCCTTACTGCCAATGAAATGGCAAGCAGAAGATTTTGCTTCTGGTAACTAAGAAAATGAAGCAAAGAGGTTAATGATGCTTCAGAAGCAATTTAATACAACTTTGTGTTCTCTTTCATCTTAATGTCATCTCAATTTACTTCTACTGATAAAATGCCATCTCAATTTACCCTTTACTTTCAACTATATAATAACAATAAAAACAACTAATTTTCAAGGAAGCAAAAGTTCACTATGCGCAGGGAAGAATTCACATGGAGCAAAACTAACAAGATAGCCATCAGGTCATATCATACATTTGGATTATGTGGCAACAAAAATGATGAGATAAGAGTTGATGCTGGCGGTGGAAGTGCCTCAGAAAATGTTCCAACTGTACATACAAATCCTAAAAGCCTCTGAACACCTGCATAGCTCAGTTCCTGAATGAAATTAGAGACTCGAATCAGGAATTAACAAACATCTCAGCTATCTTCATATGTAGCTGAAACAAATATATGAAACTTTGTAGTCTTAACACAGATGTTAAAAATTGGATTTGATCTCAAAGCAACTACACCAAGAGCAAACTGACGCACTATTAAAGCACAAATAGTTGTCGGAGGACAAGCATGTTGCCAATAATAAAAGTTAAAATTTGTGTGTGATCTCAAAGCAGACACACCTAGGGAAAATTCATGCACTATCAAAGCACATACAGTTGTGGGACAAGCGAGTTACTAAGAATGAGGAGTAGGATGCTGATGTACAAAATATAAAGAATTGTTAAGAGAATCTGACATATTCTTGTTCGATGATTTGATGCAACCTCTCAGAAACATGTATACAGTCGGGTATACAAGTGGTTTACAACACTCATAGAAGCAGCGTCAAACATTGAAGTAGTAAGAAATCGTATTGTTATGTGAATTAAGTGGACAGTATATATCCAAATCCAGTTTCTGAATCTTGTGGAAAAGACCGGCTCCCATTAGAAAAATAGTTGGCTTATGCATATCACTTCCCTGGACTACAAAATAGGTTACTACATATTTGAGGTGGTCTTTAGAGAGAAGGGAAGGTCAGGAGAATATTAAGTCGTAGCTTTCTGATGTACTTTCAAGGTTTTGCACCTCTCAAGTACAAAGAAGAGAGAAAAACAAACCACCCCGCTAAAGTTTTTCACAAAACTAGCGAAAGCGTTCTTCAAACTCACGTTAGAAGAATGTAAGATGGAAAGAAACCTCACCCACACACGTTAGAAGAATGTAAGATGGAAAGAAACCTCACCCACACCCACACGTTCCTCAATCCCGCAAGATTGCAAGAAGCGTTGAATAAAGGAAGAAGAATGAAATAAAAGATCAATCACGTTTTTGAAGCAAAAGCTTAGAAAAACTAATCACCAACCTTTATTTTCAGCATATTGAGCCCTTTAAATAGGCCTTACAATGAGTAAAATTGATAAGGTTAAGGAAAACTACTCCTAATTAAACTAGAATAAAAATAAGGCTAAGAAAACCATCCTAACTAAAATTGGAAAAAGAATTCTAGTAAGAATGGGATACCAACTGTTGAGTTGTCCCACACCGGAGGGATTTGGGGTCTTTGGTCTCCTTATATGGTTTGGGCAATCCTCACTTCATAAGCAAGCTTTTGGGGTTGAGTTAGGCCTAAGGTCCATTCTTATCATGGTATTGGAGCCAGGCCCATCCCAATTATTGTTACCGATGTTGGGCCACCATTTATGTTGTCCACGCT